GGCTCATGTCCATTTTTATCACGTCCTCCTTCAGTCCTGAAGTCCCTCTTATGACCGTCTTTCATTACTAAAGTCCCCCTGTGGACCAGGTACACCAGGAACCATTGTGTTTCCATTAGGATCACTTGAGGATTCAGGTTTATCTAATAAATCCAGTTTTCTTCATAAGAGGAAACATGCTTTAAATCCTCCATCTAGCCTCATCTGTAAGGTTGGTGTTTGGTTCTGGCCACCTCAGATCTGTCTCCATAACCTGTTTTTATTTATTTAGAGTCGCTTCTTTTTTCTCCCTGGTTTGTTTTTGTATTTTTCTGTGCCTGTCAGGAAGCTGTGAGAATCAATGACTGCTGGTAGATGGTTCATCAATAGTGTGTTAATGTTAACGCAGCAGAGTCGGCCTGTCGTTATTTTAGGTCGCATCAGAAATGAACATGAGAGCATCTCTCAGAGAGAGCCAGCTGTGGCTTCTGAAAACTCTGTGATTAGATTAAATAGGGAAGGTTCTGATGAGCGGAAACGTGTAAACTGATCCCATCCTGATGGACTGGATTCCCAGTGAGACCGCCACGGGATGTGGTTGATTATCCATCAACATGGTTTCTAAGAACCCAGCTCTGTCCTCATGACCTGTTCTGATGCTGAATCTGTCGCCGTTTTCCCGTCTGAGCTCGTCTGAACACCCAGCTGTGATGTTTACACGCCGCCCGACAGACCGCCGCCTCAGGGCTGGGGGGGGGGGAGAGAAGAAAAAATCTTCCATTCTGCTGACTGTTGTTAAATGTGTAGATGTTGCTGTGAGGTCCTTCAGGGAGAACAGAGCTGGAAGGTCTGCTGACATGGAGGACGCCTCAGAGAGCGTCACATGGAGTCTGATGGAGGTCACACTGAGGGTTTGGATCAGGTCCTTCCAGATGTTCCAGCTGCCTGATGTTGGATGTTTGCAAAGGGATTGATTTGAACCTTTATTTGAGCATCAAGTTAATTTTTTTTATTTTTGTGTAAGGTCTGACTGCTGCTGCTGAATCGCTTCTTTCATGGAGATTTTTTCCTTTATTATTGGAGGCAGGGAACACATTCTGGAAATGAGAATTTTAAAAACCTATTTTTTTTCCCCGTTGACATAACTAAAACTTTGCTCTTTTCTCAAAGGGTTATTTTTTTTAATTACTTTTATTTCCTCCAAAAGTTAAAACTATTTATATATATATATATTTGATTTATATTATTTGATTAATATAT